TTTTTTTTTTTTTTTTTGAGTTGGAGTCTCACTCTGTTGCCCAGACTAGAGTGCAGTGACATTTTCATGGTCTCTGCGGCCTCAACCTGCCAGGCTCATGTGATCCTTCCACCTCAGCCTTCCAAATAGCTGGAACTATAGGTTCATGCCACCGCATCCAGCTAATTTTTAAAATTTATTTTAGAGATGAGGTCTCCCCAATTTGCCCAGGCTGGTCTTGAACCCCTGAGCTCAGGCAATCCTCTCTTCTCAGCCTCTCAAAGTGCTGGGATTACAGGCATGAGTCACTGTACCTGGCCAGCTGATTCTTTTTGTATTTATCTCAAAACCTCTAAATACCATGGTTTTATTGCTACTTCTTGATGTTTTAGTTTCAGATAGTTTCTATTGAATTCTCATTCTAGAAGGTGAGGATTTAAACTGTGTTCCCCTGCCCGCATCCAGTGGTGTGCAGGAGCCAGCTTGCAACAAATAGCAAGAACTGTTTTTGCACAGTTCCAAATTTGTGTTCAGTGACATTACATTGGTAACTTAAAATTAGCCATGGTTTCTGGGCACGGTGGCTCAAGCCTATAATCCCAGCACTTTGGGAGGCCGAGGCAAGAGGATTGCCTGACCAGCCCAGGCAACTTGGTGAAACCTGATCTCTACAATTAAAAAAAAAAAATTAGCTGGGTGTGGAGGCCTGTGCTTGTAGTTCCAGCTCTTAGAAGGCTGAAGTGGAAGGATCACCTGAACCCAGCAGGTTGAAGCTGCGGTGGCTAGGTGCCACTGACCCTAGCCTGGGTGACAGAGTGAGACTCCAACTCCAAGAAAAAAAAAATTAGCCGTGGTGGCAGTAGTCACAGAAGTCAGCAGATACTGCAAATCAAGAATTTTTCCTGCTCCCCAAGCTGGTTTACCAACATATAGTAACCATGCCTACCCCTAATCTCTCAGCATATTTTTGTAGTAATTTTGGTTAAATCAATATTAATAGTATGACTCATTATTCACAACTGAGCCAGGTAGTAAGCAATGATTACTTTTCCCTTTTGCATAATTTTTTGCTTTCCCTGGAATTAGTAATTATCTTATTTTTTTGCTTGCTTTGTTTTCTAAGCTCTTTCATTCAACTCCAAACTCTTCCCGATTATCTATCTTCTGAAGATATCAGCTATTCTAAGAGTTTCGTCTTCCTGGAAATCCTTCCTATCTGCTGCACTGGTCCTCAGTGTCCAGAACACAGCTGCCTTCCTGGAATCCCCCTTCCTCATCATCTTGGGGTGTCCCTTTGGTTTCTTGCATTCCATGGCTTCCTCTTTCTTTTTTGAAAGCAGGATTTATTGAGAGGACAGAAAAACTCCCACAGTGGGAGGGGACCCGAAGGGGTTGCCCTCTTTTTTTTTCTTTTTGAGTCAGGGTCTCACTTTGTTGCCCAGGCCAGAGTGCAGTGGCACGCTGATGGCCATGGCAGCCTCAACCTGCTGGGCTCAGGGTATCCTTCCACCTCAGCCTTCCAAGTATCTGAAACCACAGGTGTGCGCCCCCATGCCCGGCTAATTTCTGATTTATTGTAGAGACTAGTTCTTGCCAAGTTGCCCATGTTGGTCTCAAACATGTAGGCTTAGGCAATCCTCTTACCTTGGCCTCTCATAGTGCTGGGATTATAGGCGTGAACCACTGCATCCGGCCTGAATATCTTCCATGTCAGTGTCTTTGCTGTATTTTTAGGTCTTTCCTCTTGACACTCCAGTCAGTTTTCCCAGAGTAGACTCTTCTAGGCTTCTGCTTGGAGGTCTGGCTCCTGGTGTCTGGGAGCCACAGGGGAGGATTGGGTGTGGGAAAAGTCTCGTCCTGTAGTGTGCCTACCTGTATTTAATCCCCCTTCTTTCTGGATGGTGTCCCCCTCAACTGCGCCTGCTGTCCTCCATCCAAAACCCCTCTGTTATTATGCTCTCCAAAGCACAAGTCTCCAGACTGGGCCAGGCAGTGGAAGGGCAGTCCCCTGGCTGTATGGGGCGTGGAGAGGATCTGCCTGCTTCTCATGCAGACTCTCAAACAACCCTCTTTCAGCCTTCCCTTTCACTTCGCTTCCAGAGGTAACTGGGCCACTAGCTCAGGAACTTGAGGAATTCTGCCTTGCAAATCAGACGATTTGGGGCTTCCTTCAGGGCTGACTCAAGGAGATTTTTCTCTCTACCTTTCCCTAGTCTGTACTGTTTGTTCATTCACTCTCCAGCTTCCAAGATGTGGACGCCTTTCCATTTCTCTCCTGTCTCCCTCTCCCTGTAGGCTTATGTCTTAAAAAACCCCCGGAGGACGTGAGAGCAGTTGCTTGTGCTCATTCTGGCATCGAAGTGAGGTGTAGATGCTAGACCTCACTTTACAGATAAGGCTCAGAGAGGTGAAATAACTCATCTAAGGACACAGCTTGTGTGAGACGGAGTTGAGGCCTTAAGATAGTGCTCTTGGGTATGGAGGACAAAGATCCTGATGGAGGCTCAGGACACAGGGGGCCCAGAGACATGGCACGCTTATGTTAGCAGGGCCTTTAGAGAACAGCTGGTCCAGCCCCCTCATCTTATGGGTGAGAAAAAGGAGGCTCAGCATGGAGAAGGAACTTGCCCAGAGTCATGCAGCAAGTTCATGCAAATCTGTGATGAGAAACACTCGTGCTACACTACCCCTTTCTGTGACATTCATTCAGTCATTGACTCAGCAAACACTTATTAAGGACCAGCCGTGTGCCGGGTCCTGTGCTATGCTTGGGACTACAAACATGAGTCAAGCTTGATCCTTGCCTGCAAGGAACGTTTACCCTGCTTCCTGCTTCCTGCTTCCTGCCTCAGCATCCTCGAGGAAGATGCTGAGGAGGAGGGCGGTAATAACAGTTAACATTTATTGACTCCTTATGTCATGCCAAGCACTGTTCTGGTTGCTTTTCCTGAATCAGTGCATTTCATTTTCATGGGAGCCTATAAGGTATCGGTAATATGCCCACTTCACAACTGAGGAATCTTAGGCATCCAAGGGCTGGCATTCAAGGCCAGGCAGCTTAAGGTTGCCATCCAGAGATGAGGCCTGAGATGAGGGAGGGGCAAAAGAGAAGAACAAAGGAGGAAGGATTGGGGGGAAGGGAGGGCGGGACGGAGGGAAGCGGCAACGGATGAGCTGGAGGGAAGGGGCAAGCCAACCTAACCTGCTCCTCCCTCCTTCCTCCTCCCTCCTTCAGTGCTCGGTGGGCCCCTCCTCTGATGAAGCCTTGACCTTCATGAAGGAGCACTTTCTGATGGATGAACAGGCGGTGGGGTCGCCTGTGCTGGTGAAGTCTGGTGTGGAGTACTCACGGCTTGCAGTGGAGACAGCCCAGGGGCTTGATGGGCGCAGCCATGTGGTCCTGTACCTGGGCACCAGTGAGTCAAGAGCCAGGACATCCTTCAGAGGATGAGTGCGGGGGCAGTACCCAGCTGGAGGAGGGAAGCCTTTGCGTCTGTTCATTCACCATTCACTTGTTCATTCAGTAGCTGTTTACTGAGCACCTACTATGTGCCTTGCACCTGGGTAGGTTCTGAAAATACAGCAGGGGAGCAAAACAGTCCAGTCCCTTCTGAGCTTTGTCTGGTGGGAGAGGTTTTGGTGACCTTAGCGAGAGCTGCTTGTCTTATGGGGAATCCATACTGGCAGAGTTGAAGGGTGAGTGCGCAGAGGGGAGCTGGAAGCAGCAAGTGTAGATGTCACTCCTTCAGGAAGCTGGCTGTGAAGAGGAGAGGGGAGAAGGGGTGACTGGAGTGGGGTGTGGGTCCAGTCAGGGTTCTTGATTGTTTTCCTCCTCCTCTCCCTCGGGCTTCTTGTTTTTTTCTGTTTTCTTTTGTTTATTTATTTATTTATTTATTTTTTGAGTTGGAGTCTCACTCTGTCACCCAGACT